TATATATTAAGACACGAATATACATGTCACGAGGATGGCTGACATTAATTTCTTACATTATAACAGAAAAACAGAGATTTTGAGTATATGATTAAAATATAAGAAAAGGGGATAAGCATGAAAATGATCAGTAGTCTCTCTTTGCTTTCTGTTCCCCTCTTTTGCTCATTGGATGAACAAGGAATCTTTGACTAACCATTTGAAGCATTTCCAGCTGCAAAAAGAAACGCTTGCAATTTCTAGCAGAAAGAGAGAGAAAACAAAAACGTATACTTCTGGCTCATTCTCTGCATGAAGAGTTAAAAGCAACTAAATAATTAAAGAATTGAAAGAGCAATTATTAGGAGGTTATTGAAGGTTAGAGCTAATTGGGTTTGTTTAATTTCGCAATCCTTGCAAACAAAATGTTTTGGTTTCATTTAGGACTTCAGATGTGAGAGATTTAGACATAGCAAACATTTTAAACACCAGAGGATTCATATAGCAATTGTCATATTACTTTAATTCAATCCAACAAACTTCTAAAAAAATGTGATACTTATTAAAAAAAAAAAAAAAAAAAGTCCTCGTTTTAGTGACCCAATTCATTATACACCATAACTGATACCTAACACTTTTCTTTGTACATTACATGAATGTTAATAAGAATAAAATAACTAAATTAGTACATTTTGCATATGCATGCATGGCCAACAATAATTTTAATGAGAAAATGTTAGGATTTTAATTTAAGTTCAGATTATAGAAACAAGGATTTTATTCCCCATGGGGTCAAGTCAAACCTTTCTCTCTCTGGCTGCCAAAAGCAAGAGCACATGATCCCATGTGTGTATGTAAATTTAATCTAAACCTTAAACTGATCTACAAGATTACCAACCCAACTAATTTCAGAAATCCCACTGACGTAAGCAGGCAAAAATTGGTCACAGTCTCAGAACACATGATTCTCGGGTAGAAACGAAATCAGCTAAAAGGCCATCAACTTCACCCTATCAGAGCTAAGAAACAAAGCTAAAAGAAACTAATGAGATGGGTTTAATACAGAGCAAACCAATGTACTAAAACAGAGTAATCAAATTCCCAACAGTTCCCATTTCCATGGGGTTTCTCAATCTCAAAACATGTGCAATTTACTAGTTTTCTGGTTTCATCTTGGGTTAAATGCATATAGTCCACAAACAAATATTATCCAAACATTTTAGCCATAAACGATGGTTGAATGGAAAAACAAAAAAGAAAAGGTTTTAAAAAGGAGTTGTTTGGTACTACTAACCTCACCAGACAACTTCCCCAACAAGCAGAAGATATTGTTGTCCCTTCGATTGTCTTATAGGCATTTCATCGAACACCTTGAGGACACGTTCTGTTGGACCCCCGCAAATGATTGATTCTGATCATTGTTCGAGGACCCGAATCGTGGATTCCTAATTAAAACAATGGTCGGTTACTTGGGCCTCCAAGCTTTCACTTTCCCCCAAAAAGACATGTTTCTTCCTGCTCAAACCTCAAATCCCGAACTACTGCCCTTCTTCAATGAACGGAGAAATGAAAGCACTGAAAGTGCAAGTAGCAACACAGCCCTTAACCAATGCCCAAATTGTTCACTGAATTCAGATGCATGAATCCCACTTCCCCTCATCTCATGATTCTCTTGGTCCTTCGCTTACCTAATTAGAATTCCAAACAAACATAAGAACATCACTGCGGTCCGAGCCAAAGAAATTTGTGGAGTTCGGGTTCATGAAATATTTAGGCCTGAAGTCTAAATTCTAATTTTTTTCGACTCTCAATAATTGCATCATTTTAGTTTAGCCCTTTTTAATTTCTTAAATACACTTTATACCGTTAAAAAAATAAATAAATAAAATAAAATAAAATTATTACCATACAGTCATTAAAATATAAAGAGAAAAACATTTACTATCAAAGTTCAAATGTAGCTGTGCTGTTAAACTACCTTACCGGTGTAAAAGCAAACTTTATTACATGGCCTCATCAACGGTCAATATCATTCGTAAATGGAGGCACTAAAACAAATACGTACAACATGTTTTATGATGGGTGGAACCTACTTTCCAATTTTTTTTGAAGTATGGTTAGAAATATAGCTCTTCTATGTATACCGTTGATGCATGTGTATAAACTTAAAAAATAATATAAAAATAATTTTAAAAAATCATTAAAGTCTGCTAAATTGATTTATTTTGTTTAGAAAGTAATTTTCAAATTTATTAAGCCGTTTGACTATGACTACGTGATGAAAAGTACTTGCTTTTTCGGTTGTTTTTTCGGTTGCTTTCTCTTGAGGGCAGATTCTATAATTTAAAAAAAAAAAAACTTAATTAATTAAAAAAAAAAAAAAATCCGTTGGAAACAAAGATTTGTCACAGTAAAATCCAAGGTGGGAGATTAAAAAACAAAAAAAGAGACAAGAAAATCCCGAAAGAAGATTTTGAGTGCCGCCCAAAATTATGTCTCATTCTAACCGCATTCATCTCCTAATTATTCCTCTCTCCCTAATTATCCATTATACAAATCACTCTCTCCTCTCTTTAAAATTTATTGATTTATTAGATATAAAAGTGTAGCTTTAATTAAATACAAAACTCAATTTAATTTAAAAGACATAGATATAGATCATTTAAAATTTTTGGGATAAACTTTATCCATCTAACTAAATAATATGTTCAGTTAATTAATCTATATATATATATATAAGAAAAATAAATAAATAAAGATTCGTAAAGATTATGATAATCTTTTTAAAGAAGTTTTGAAAAAATAAAGGACTCAAATTCAATCATGCATTAATGATGATCTCACCAACTATCATAAGAAAATTCAAATAATTTGTTTTTTTTTTAAGGGGGGAATAAATAATAATTTAATTAAACTCGTTAATTTTCATAAGGTCTTATAACAAATGAACTAAAAAAATCCACAGATTATGGCATGTTCACAGGTTGGGGAACAACAGTGTTCTTAAAACAAATTAATGAAAATATTATATATTTGTTTATCTTTGTTGTGCAGCTTTATTTTCTTTCATTCATTTCATGTTTTTATTTCAGAGACAATAATGCAAGTTGGACATAAAATATTTTTTAAAAAAAAGATTGATGGATGGCCATAAAGACATGCAACAATGGAGAAAAGGGGTTTGTGGGCCTAAAATTTTATGTTTTTTAAATATAATTTTATAGTATTGATAATAAGATTCATATATATATATATAGTATTGATCATAATAGTTTGATTAAATAATAGTCTAATAAAACTAAAAATTATTGTTAATTTTTATCAAAATTGGTATAATGATGTATTGATATATATGTATTTTTATTTTTATTTAATTTCATTATTATTATTATTATTATTTTTATTTATTCTCCACTTACCAAATCAATAATAATAATAATAATAATAATAATAATAATAATAATAATAATAATAATACACAAAAAGAAGGAAGCAAATACACTTTCTTATACAAAAACAAATATTGTTATCGTAAAAATATTAACTTTCTTTCCGCGATTCTCATGAATTATTTCGATAAGAAAACATAGAATTAAAATAAAAATTGTAGGACCATCCACATCCACATCCGCATTATTAAAAAAGAAAAAAGAAAAATAATAATATAATTTTAGGGTTGAATTGAAACATCGATTATAAAAAAATAACCCATGCCCATAACGTCCTCACATTCTCTTACTCTTTCATGTTGAGTTTTGAGCATTCACAACATTGAGACAAAAACACATGAACAAATTCGACAAAATCAAACCGAAAATATATATTATATATATTTTTTCTTCTCGACCAAGCCTATCACAACTATTTTCTAATAATGGGTGAATGTGAATTTAAACATCGGGATGTTTGTTTGTTGATTAATTATTATTAAAAATAAATAAACTAGAAAGGAAAATGTGATAAAATGGATCAACATACAAATATTGGCAATCATATTGTAATAGAGCTCGAAAAAGAGAGAGCGGTGGAATGAAATGGTAACTGTGAAGATTGTGTTTTTCTCCTCACACATGCTCCCATGTGGATCGCCACGTTATGTTTTTTTGACTTTCAACCGTCGCCAAAAACTTCCAAATCTCAGTCAAATTCCGACAAACAGAACCGCGAAGGATTTGGATTACATGTTTTTTTGTAGATGCAAATATGGATAAGACGCAAATGTATATTTTTTGGAAAATTTGTATAAAATTAATAGATAAACATCTGATTTTTTTAATTTTTTTTTTATATAATATAATAGAAACGTGGATTCACCCCTTGTGTTCTTATTGAATCTATTCGATGAGTGAAAATATCGATGAAAATGTTGACATGTCATAAAAATTTAACATCTTGAGTTCATTAGTTAAGACACGATTTCAACTAAGAAAATGTCGATTCGAATCTGCATATTGTTTACCTTATAATAAGAAAAAGATTAAAACTTAAACCTAAACATTTTAACCCTCAATTCAAAAATGATTTTTACTATAGAGAGAGAGGCAATGAAATTGGAATTTTGATAATCTTTAAATTAATTTATAATAAATTTTACAAGACACACACAAATACATTTAACGTCTGTAAAATAAAATTAACTCTAAATGGAGTTTAGGGCATAATAATCTCAACTATAAAATCATATATTTAAATTTTCACGCCTATTTATTATTCCACGTGTTATAAAAAAAAATAAAAATAGAAACAAAAAAAAAACCTTAATGGGCCTTGTCTTATTCTGGTGGGAAGTTTATATTTAAGCCCAGAAAAATGGCCCAATGTGAAAAAATGGCCCAATGTGAATGGGCCTTTAGCTATTTGCTCGTGATTAAAAGTACTCCCCACTAAAGGTGATTTATGCTTGGAAGCGATTTATAAGCGTCTTCATATCGGTCCAAATTTGATACTGTACCAAATTAAACCATTAATTAGCGAAAGTTAATATAATTGATTCCATAATTTTTAGTTTTCATATCGGCTCAACAGACCGGTTCAACTAAACTGCCCGTTTCCACTCCATCTTGCCCGTGCTGCCGCGCCTTCGGCTTGCTTTCCAACAACCAAAAGATCATTCAGCGTCGTCTTTGTTCTTCTCCAGCTCGCTGCAAGTTAGGGCAAAGAAGAAGCAAGCTTCCCCCCACTCCCAATATTTTCTGTTTCAGCTTCTGGACTCGTAGACATGCCATTCGTATCGGAAATACAGAGACAATCTGATTTCAATCACTTTCCCTCCACCACTCCCATCGTTATCGACAATGGCGCCTCCTCTTTTCGCATTGGGTATCTCCATTTTTCTGGCTTCAACTCTTCGAATAAGCAGCACGAGAACGAACTTTCTTTTATTTTTACGTTCATATAAACTGTGTTCTGTTTTTTTTTCTTGAATTTAGTTCTCTTTGCTGTGTTTGATTCTTCCAGATGGGCAGGAGAGTCCGACCCTCGCGTTATTTTCAGGAATATTGTCCAGAGACCTCGCCACAAAGCCACTGGTATCCCTACTTTTCATCAGTTAATCTGTTGAATTCTCTGGTTGTTTAGTAAGGCTCAGGAGTAGCTTCTTTCTTTGAAAAATTCACACTTGCGAAGTAGAATAAAGAAAGAATTGTTGGTGGATATTAACAATTGGGGCTTAGTTTTGCATCCACTCGAGTTCTCTGAAAAATTGTGACCCCCCGCTTCTGCGGAAATTATCTTGTTCTTTATGCTTTGTAAGATTATTAATTGAAGCGTAATCTGTTGTTCTTCTTATTGCAATTCAGGTGAAACGGTTACTATAGTTGGAGACCATGATCCGTCTTTGATGAAATATTTTGATTGCACACGTTCAGGTCCTCGCTCTGCTTTTGATGGCAACGTTGTTTATCAGTTTGAAAATATGGAATACGTAAGTTGAATTATTGTTTTATCTTTTGCCACTTTCAATTTGGACCTACACATGTGAACTAAAAACATTGTCTGAACGTAATTTTCTTGAAACTCGGAGATAATCATATGTGGGCAACAAAGGTAACGCATGCATATTAGAAGAATGAATATAAGTGTCGCTGCATGCCTATGTGTACTTATACGAACTTGGAGAATATAAAGTTGTAGCTTGTTAATAATTCCTTGCATATATTAGGTTCTTGACTTTGGATTTGATCGGCTTGGAGCAACTGGACCAGAGGTAATTGTGCAAACATTAAGTTTCAACCCTTTTTTGGTACCTTGTTCTGTCATTCCTCATTGCCTTCTCTCTCCCTTTCTTGTTTGTAATGCTTGCTGTCTCGCGTAATCCTACTATTTTGGTAGACTCTTGGCATATCTTCAGTTCCTACCTTGAACATATATGATGATGGAGTAAGCTATCCTGGATCCTCCACTTCAGGAAAAGACTGTATGTTACGGCACACTGGTTTTGTGCGCTTTGGAATATTTGGTTGGAAAAAAAAGAGGAAAAAACGTTGGGTTTAGATAGGACTTGCTTCGTGGGAAGGGATTTGAGGTTTGGTGTATTTTAGCATATCTCCTCTCTTTGGGTGCATAATTCGAAACTTCCTTTCGGAAATTATATTATTTATTTTGCAATTACCAACAACAATGGGGCTCCTTCTAGCAGCTTCAGATGTCATATGTGGTGAATGAATGTTGTGATTCATATTCTTATTTGGATGTATAATTACGTATAGTTTAGACATTAATGATAGTGTAGAATACGACTTAGACTTGGTGATGCTGGTAGTATTTATAATTGAACAGCTGTTATTCTTGTTTGTTACTACTTGTTTAACTCTCAAAATCTTTTTTTTCCTTTCTTTTTCTAATTTGAAGAACTTTTTTTCATACGGTTTCAAATAATGCCACTTTACTTTCCCCCCACCTTTTTGTTAAACAAAGTTCTTAATTTAATTATGTTCCTTTGAGTGCAGAACAGATTGATCACCCTATCCTGATTACAGAATGTGTCTGCAATCCAGTTCAATCTCGTAGTAAAATGGCAGAGCTTTTGTTTGAGACCTATGGAGTTCCTTCAATAGGTATGGTTCTTGTTCATGTTGTTGAATTTACTATGTTCTCTAATGATCGGTCACCATAATTTTACCGAAGTAATGTTTTCAAGCTCTTTTCTGTGGCAGTCCTTTTCCGCTGGGTTACAGATTAAGACTTATATTTTATGTTTGGCTTGTACCTCTAAACATAACCTATAATTAAATTTAATTATAGTGTTTGGTTCTACTTCTTTGACATTATTTTTTCCTTTCCCCTTGTAACTTTATTACAGCATATGGTGTCGATGCGGCATTCAGCTATATGTACAACCAACAACTTGGGATATGCGATAAAGATGGCCTTGCTATTTGCCCTGGATTTACTGCTACCCATGTTATTCCGGTTTGCTTTAGTCTTTCATCCTCTTACTATTTCATAGAGCTTATCAATTCATTGTTGTATTGTTCTTGTAAAATAACCCGCACCCCCCCCCCCCCCCCCCCCCCCCCCCCCCCCCCCCCCCCCCCCCCCCCCCCCCCCCCCCCCCCCCCCCCCCCCCCCCCCCCCCCCCCCCCCCCCCCCCCCC